GCATCGCTGCATTTGTAATGTTCGGGGGATATGCTGATCTGCCGAGGTCGCCCAGCGGCCGCCTTCTTCTCGCCAAGAGGGCCGCAGCGTGGGCGACTTTCTTTTTCCCGAAGGCGACCAGCCTTTTTAAGCGGCCGTGGAGAGGGCGACGCGCGTGCGATCCGCCCTGTGGGTGTCCGCCGCGCTGGCGACGCACTCACCAAAGTGCCCCCTTGCGAGGGCGACGTGCACGTTCGAGAGGGCGGCTGGCCTTTTCGGCGGCCGACGCACGGGCGACGAATGCGCGACGCACTTCCTGTCGCGAAGGGGGGGGGTCAGCGCGCCGGTCGCTTTACTGGGCCTTAACATGCCCGCCGCGGGTGGAGTCGTTTACATTGTTCGGCTGAATGCTAGGTTTGGCTCAAGTCCTGGGTGGTGGTGCGCGTCGCGCGCGTCGCGGCGGAAAATAGATGCGCGCGCGCTGGCCGCGCGCGACGCCATTCCTTTCGATCGACGTCTGCGACCATATCCCCCAACATATCATCACCGAGGGATCCCCTCATACAGGAGAAGAAAATGCGGAGACTACTCGCATGTCAGCTTGTCTGGATAATCTGGCAACATACAGGTAAACCCATCTGCCGATTCGGATCGGACGATAGCAGGGCCATCTTGGGAATTGAAATTGGGGGCTGAGGAGAGAGCGCAACGCACTCAGCTACGAAGAGGCGGCAATATGCGCCCGCTCCACGAGGACTGCGGGGGCTCCAAGATGCAAGCCGTGAGTGCTAGCGGCCACCGCCCCGTGGCATGAGCAAAGGAACTTCTGCATTTGATCGTCGGTATCCTGGAGAAGGGTAGCTCTCGCGCCCTGTAGCCATGGCGCGGGTTGCTCGCGCGACGTCGCCAGGAAGGCGCTGGGCAGATCTGAAGCGAGGTCTGATATATAACACCCGCCACACAAGCGAGGTGGCACAGGATTGAAATCCAACTTGAGCATCCTGGGAACCAGCGTGCCTTGCAATGCGTTCTTGAAAACTTCGTAATGCCCAGTGAGAGTGCCTAGCAGGACCAGCCGCGCGCGTGCGCGGGTTCTGCCATGATTGACGGTTTCCAAACGCACGTTGTGCACGAACGTCCCGCGCAACTGTGGGCCCTATGTGTTTCTGGCAAAGTGGGCGCCGACAGTGCGCCGATGCCGGCGTGTCTACGTTCGCGGCGAAACAAGCAGCAGGGCAATCTCTGCTTGTTTTCTTTTGCAGAAGGGAGGGAGAGAGTCCAACCGACAGCATCAACCTCCGTGGAGAAGTCAAACCAACAAGAGCTGCATCATATACTTTGCCGATGTGCCAGGGGTGCAACTAATCGACGCCCATTGAAGTCCTCTTGCGGTACTTCGAAGTGAGTTCCGAGGCTGCGCGGACTCGAGCAGCTCCAACTTGTCGAGATCACGACAGGGGAACCTTGGAAACTCTGCTCCAGGGCATGAAGCGTTGGCGGCACAATGTGCGATGCATGGGCGTGCCTGGTGGTTCCTTGTTCGCGGCGAGATCGACCTCGAACTCCAACCGGGAATCTTTGCCACGAGTCAAGCGAAGCGCCGCGGACGCACCTTCGGAGGCCTCTTCAGATACCCACTTACCAGTGCTTACAATGAAACTGTCGCGTCTCTGGTGTTAAGATCGAGATCGTGGCCGTGGGACGGAAAAGTGCGCGGGCATCGTCCAAAGACAAATCGGGGAGATGGCGCGCAGGCTGCACCCAAACATGCCAATCATCAGAAGGTCTACTTGCGCGGGGAGACGATTTCTAACGCCGAATCTTGTCGACACACGTTTGAGCATCCCGAGACATGCCCCTCCCGCGAAGTTGGATTTGGCGCTCAAGACGCATCAGCGAATGCCGCCACAATCGTGCATTAAACTTGTCAGTGCGGCGGGCAGGTCATCGTAATCGGGCAGGGACCGTGGCAAACATTATTCCCAGCCCCCAGCACGACTGCAATGCAGGATCGATGCACGCTGTAACCGTGCAGACATGATCTGGTCCAACTCGGCAGTGCTCGTCCACCTGGTACCGAACTGACACCCTTCTGGCGCCAGCGCTCACGTTTGTATCGGGCCTCCTCTTCCTCCTTCTCCACTCCGCCGCCGAGCCGCTGAGTGGCGAGGCGCGCTCGAGCGCCGCGTAGGCGGGTTGCTGATGGAGAGACAGCGGCCGCCTCAGATACTTTGGATTTTCCCCTCCTCCTCCTCCTCCTCCTCCTCCGGATCCGGATCCGGATCCGATTCCTGCTCCTTCAGGCCGTCAAAAAGCGGACCGTGCTCTTCCTCTTCCTCCTCCTCCTCCCCTCTCCTCTCCTCCTCCCTCCTCCTCCTCCTCCTCCTCCTCCTCCTCCTCCCCCCCCTCCCCCTCCTCCTCTTTCTCTTGGGCCGCTTCTCTCCTTCCTCTATCCACTGGTCCTCCTCCCAGCGAGTTCCACCAGCGCTCGCCCACTTTGCCGCAGGCGTGGCGCCACCCTGCCTGGCGCGGGCTCTGCCCCTCTGGCCGTGGAGCTCTGTCGCCCACCTCGTGCTTCTCATGATTCGGCCTTTGCCCCTCCCCCCTTGGAGAGGAGAGTCCACGATCCCCGTCCCCCCGCTCCCTTTCGTCGTGAAAAATCATGACGGAACTCCTCCTCCTCCTCTTCCTCTTCCTCCTCCTCCTCCTCCTCCTTCTCCTCCTCCTCCTCCTCCTCCTCCTCCTCCTCCCTCCCCTACTCGACTCCCTACTCGATAGGGCTGGGCAGCCGATCCCTAGATTCCTCCATCTCTCCATGCCTCCTCCCTCCATCCCTCCTCTCTCCATCCCTCCTCCCTCCTCCTTTTCTCTCCTCCCTCCTTCCCTCCTCCCTCCCGCCCCCATTCACCGCCGCAGCCTCAGGTCTTAAAACCGACTCCTGCCGGGACACTCCCCCGCCTCGAAGCAGTGATAAAAAATGGGCGACGCACAAATATTACAGAACCCCAGGGTCTTCCACGGGAGGCCTGCACCGAGCTTGCTTGAGGGAGTTGAGCGGCCAGTAAAGCCTGGCAAAAGCCCGAATACCCCTTTAGATGAGGAGCCTCTAATCGGACAAAAGTGCGTTTCTGTTGGCTCTGTCGGGTGTGAGTCTTTGGATTTTTTTTTGTTTGGGCTGTACTGGCCTATCCTCGGCTTCACCGGCCGAGGGAGGAATACTGTCGCTGGAAAAGGTCACCGAACCGTCTGTCTGGGGCCCACTACTTTTGATGTACTGGCCTATCCGTGCCTCGAGGCCGCCTCGCGACAAGGAGTCAGCTGGGCTGTCCGACGAAGGTGGCCTAACCAGACCTCTCGCTGGGGGAGTTTTTCGGGTTGGTTCCACTTTGTTGCGCCCGTGCGGGGGCGGACATATCTAGCCCTCCGCTGCAGCCTGCATGATGAGGGATTTGTTGGCTACTGGAACCCTGTCCTCACTTCAGGGCGTTCGGCTTTGCTTTTCCCCTCCCTTCCCCCTCCTCCTGGGGGTCGGGCACCGATTCTGGCGCCAATTGCCACCATCCAGCGTTGTCCCCCCGCCCACTTCGACAGAAGGCACAAAACAAACATTCAGCCTGTGAGTTCACAAAAGGAACAAGTCGTGCACAAGTGTGGGCAAGGAGAGGATTGAGATTCGCCCAAGTGGCAAGCGCCTGCTTGACAGGTCCGTCCGTGAGGGGCTTGGCGTGTCCTGCCTGGCGGCCTGGCCGGCCACGGCGTCGAGGGCATCCAGCTGCGCGACTCTCTCGGCCGACAACGGCGATTCGTTCGCTGCGACCCGCAGCCAACAATAATTCTGCGGTCTGGACCAATGCGCAATGAGGCGTAGCCGGGTCGAGAACTTTTGTGGCACGACCGGCAGACCCCATCCGATTCAGCAAATAGCTTGCGATCAGTGCGGGCACCATGCTTGATCTGGGCGTGAGTCAACATCGCTTGCTGCGTGGCAAATGTTCTGTCACATACCCAACACGGATGCACTGCAACCGCCTCGTGAGCACATGCATCCCGCGACGCGTCGCACACGTACTCAAAGAAATGAGCAGGCGATACAACGGCGTGCCAAAAACCAACATGCGTGCTCATTAAATCGAACCACGCTTCCAGGTGCTCTCGCGGGCATGGGAGACGTTCCTTGGCAAATGGCGACAGCCAGAAACATTTGCTTAAGTCGCATCTGACCGCACGCACCCAGGGGAGCATTTCGGAGGAGCCGTCGGCCCGCGCGCGCGCCTGCGACAGTAGTGCCTGCAACGCCCTGCCGTCGGACCTCAGGAGGCAACCGAGGTACGACAACCTCTGCTGCAATAGAAGGCAATCCAAGGAGACCATGTTCGCAGCCCTGCGCGCTTCAATTTCGGTGCCAGCAGTGCCATCAAAGTCCACACGATGGCACATCCGACGAACAACGCGCATGTAGGTGGCGTTCAACACGCGCAACTCGCGCACCGTGAACACCCCTGACGTAAGCATTGAAAAACAGCTTCGACAGGATGAGGCTTCGACATAGGGAGGAACGCGAAAACAGCTGCAAACCGTGGTTGCCGAACACTTTCGTAGCAATAGGTGCGTACGATACAAGCGCATTGCTGGAACGTTGCTTAACGTCAGGAATGTTGGATCCGCGTACGCTCGTGACGCTGCCAAGGTGATGGAACCCCGAAGCAACGAGCAAGAACGCATCGCTCCTACGCACACGCATGCCGTACCCGGCCTCAGTTCGCAACCCCTCATGGAATTTCGTTTCGTGATTGCCGCGGAACTTGACAAATGTTTCTGTCCTACTTTTGCTCCAGTTTATGAGCAACCCGAGGCATCCAAAAAGTTCAGTAATTATAGCAAACAGCACCCACCCACCCTGCCCCTCCTCCCCCACTTCTCCCGGCCCCCCTTCCCTCCCCCTTACGTTCTCTTCGCCTCCCTCCCCCCCCAGCTGTCCTGCTTTCGCCCCCCTTCCGCTCCAGAGAAGATCCGGCTGCGAGCTGCCTTCCCGCTGGGTTCCGCTGGCGGTTGAGCTCGTGCCAGGGCAGGGGTGGGCGAAGCTGCCGGCCGACAACCACTGGGCGCGTTTCGCGGCGCTCTTCGGGGACTGCCGGGGCACGCCGAGGTAATGTTCATGCCAATGTACACACACACACACACATATATATATATATATATATATATATATATATATATATATATATATATTCCTATTCATATACTTTTATAGGGCCGGGAACCCCGGACAGACCCCGGACGGAGCCCCCCCCCTTCCCCCCGAACGAGTTTCGGGCTTCCCCGAGATTTTCGGGCGGTCACAGAGGCGCCCCAGACGGCCCGAGATACTCCCGAGAGGGGTCCACGAGCGCTCCAAGACAGCCCAAGAGCGCTCCAAGAGACCCCAAGACCGCCCAAGACCTTCCAAGGGGGCCCCGAGACGCCCCAAGAGGCCTCCAAGAGGCTTCCCAAGAGGGCCCCAAGAGGGGCGTTTCATTGATTTCTGTATGGTTTTCAGACGTTTTCCTGGCTCTTCCTTTTTCGGGCCAACATCAGCCCGAACCGGCCCAAGAGGCTCCAAAGATCGCCCGAAGATAGCCCAAGAAGCCCCCCAAAGAGCCCGAAAACGATCCAAGAGAGTCCCAAGACAGCCCAAGAGGGCTCCAAGACGGGCCCAAGAGAGCCCCAAGAGCGCCCAAAGAGGCACCCAAGAGGGCCCCAAGACGCCGCCAGGAGAGCCCCACGACGGCCAAAGGCCTCCAAGACGCCCCAAGACGGCCCAAATGGGCCCCGAGACGACCCAAGAGAACCCCACCAGGGCCCTACAAGGGATCCAAAAGGTCCCCGAGAAGACTCCCAAGAGGCCCCAAAACGCTACATAACACCAGGGCTCCCAACACTGAGCTTCAATGGCGCCCCCAGAAGCCTTCCAATATTTCTTTTCCTACATCCTTCTTTTCTCCGTCTCCCTCCTTCTCTTTCCCGTTATCCTCCTGTTCCTCCTCCTTCTGACGACGACGACGACGCTGCTGCTAATGAGGTTAATGTGTACGGGATGTGGGTGATTATGCTGAGAATGATGATGCTGATGATGACGATGACGACGATGCTGATGAAGATGGTGCTGCTAATGATGATTGTGGTGACGATGATGACGATGGTGGTGGTGGTGGTTGTGGTGATGATGATGCTGATGCTGGCACTGATGATGGTGAGGCAGATGAGAATGAGGCGGAGGAGAATGAGGATGATGAGGAGGAGGAGGAGAAAGGGGACGAGGATGATGATGAGGACGAGAACGAGGAAGAGGCCGCAAACGGCGGTGACGATGATGATGAGGAGGAGGGAGCGGAGGAGCCCTCATAGACCTGAAAACGTGGACACTCGACGCGGAGAGCGCCGTGCGGTACATCGTCGTCGACTCTCAGCTTCGCTCCCAGACGGCGGCACGGTTTCAGCTCGAATCCCGCATTGTCAAAGGGTTGGAACGCATGATTTTGCCCAATAATCCGTACATGAAAGCGATCACCAAATTTGCCATTCCACGTCGCGGTCTTCAGGACGTCCCTCTACGTCTCGATTGGGACGAGGGTACACAGGAAGTAGCTGCCATTTTGGACACCAGCTCGGGAGCACAGGCACTACCGCCTGAGATACGCATGTGTATGCGCACACATAGTTACACAGACCATTTACATATACATGTGCATACCCTTACATACGCATATTTAGATGTATGAATGCAGTATATTTCCATAGGTGAATGTGTGTGCGCATGTACGCACGCACGCACTCCGCTAACGTGCGAAACTCTAAAGAACCAAGGTGCATGGCGCGCAGCGCCAATGCAGTCTTTTTATTTACTTTTACTTACTTACTTACTTATATACATACATGCGTATATATATGTATATATATATGCACATATATATATATATATATATATATATGTATGTATCCCTGGGGACGAGGACCGAGGGCCCGGGACCGCGACCTCGACAGCGCATGGGGGGACCGGGGGCTCTGGGGCGCCCCCGGGCCGGCCGCCGAGGGCCCCGGAGGCCACCAAACAGATCCAGGGAGGGCACAAGCCTCCGAATGTCGCTTGGGGACGCCGACGATGGCTCCAAGACGGCTACCGGGAGCCTCCGGGACAGCCAAAGAGAGCCCCAAGAGCCTGCCCCAGAAGGCCCCAAGAGGCAAAAATGGTCCCGTTCCCTGAGGGAAACGTATAGTTCTCAAGGATTCGCCTGTCGACCTTCCATGGGCACGAAGACGGCCCGACAGGCCGCCAGGATCGCCCCAAGACAGCCCCAGATGGTTCCTACACAGCCACAAATGGCCCCCGGCCAGTCCAAGAGGGCCCAATCGCTTCCGGCTGACATTAGTCGGATGCGGGTCGAGCTCAAGGGAGAGGTCCTTCCTATTTGTCGACCAGGGTGGCCCAGGGGGGTACGGTGGACATGCTGTGCCGCCTGCCCCTCCTTCCCCGTCAGTCTCTCCTCTGCCCTCCGCCTCGGCCTCATCTCTGCCCCCTCTCTGCCTCCGCTCTGCTATCCCTTCTCTCTTACCCTCCTTTCTGTTCCCCCCTCCCCCGCTCTCCCACCCCCTCCGCTCCACCCGTCATCCCCTGCCTCCACGATTCCAGCGTTCAACCTCAGCAAGATCTTCGTGGACGACATCGACCAGCTCGTGTTCGAAGAAGGTGACGGGTTCACCACGGAGGGCTCGACCTCGATTCTTCGGAGCAGAAGCAGTGGGACGACCTCAAGTCGGCCTTTGCTCAGGAGCTCAAGGGCAAGGTCATGGAGGTCTTCGGCCCGAGCGTGGATGCGTTCAAGGCGCGCCGCGCTGAGCTGCGGCCATGCGCTCGCGCCTGATTACAGGCCAAGCGCCGTCGGGTCGACCCCGCCGAGCAGGAGACCATGGAGACCGAAGCGCCTTCGGCGCCTCCTGCGACGGGGGCCCCGCCTCCCCCGCCTGAGAGCGCGGCGCCTGCGGCCGACGGCAGCGCCTCCGCAGCGCCAGGCGGAAGCCAGGCCTCCCAGGCTCCCCCAGGCGCTGGCGCTGCTGATGCTGGCGGGGCCTTCTTCTGCTGGGGCCGAGGCCTTGGCTGCAGCGGCGAGCGCCCGAGCTGCTGGGTCTCCCCAACGCTCCTGGCCGCCGCCACGGCCGCGGCCTGGCCCAAGGCAGATGCGGCGCCAAGGCCCACCAGAAGCCAGGTCTCCAGCTCATCGGACTCGATGCGAACGCGTGGTCCTCCGCGTTGGGCTACATTGACGAGGAGCGGGACACCCTGGCGCCATATCACATTTTTGTCCTGCAGGAGCTGCGGCTCACCACGGATGGGAGGCAGGAGGTCGAGGCCGCCTGCTACAAGCGACACCTTCCTGCGGCTTTGAATGACCGCACCATCGGCTGTGGAGGCGGCCGCAGTGCTGGCGTGGGCCTGCAGGTGCCGCGTCACAACGGGATGCCTATGTTGGATGGGCGTACTATGTATGACTGTTCGCCTCCAGGGTCGGCTGGACGTCATGTTGCGGGCTTGACTCCAGCTGGCCAGCCAGGCGGGATGATGACTGTGTCCGCCTACTTGTGGACCAGTGTGGGTTGGGCGATCCGCAACTTTTCCATCCTTGAGGCAGTCGGAGAGCTCATTTTCACCTACGGCATCCCCTGGGTCCTCCAGTCCGACTTCCAGAATGACGTGGGCACGCTGCAGGATACGGGATGGCTGAATGATGTGCCGGGGTGGCCATTGCCCCAGATCAGCGTACACGTGCTCGCATTGGAGGTGGGCGCTATTGATTTCTTCGCTGTGGACCGATCGATCGCGGCTTCGTTCGGCAATGCCACGGCTCTGTCCAGCTCCACCTTCCCCCTTTCTCGAGTGCAGATCAGACTCGACGCTCACATTCGATTGAAGCATGGACGGAGGTTGGCACGCCCAAAACAATTTCCGATGTTTGTACCACTGGGATGCCCACCACCACCGCCTACATGGCCCCATTGCGGTGCCACGCATTCCTAGACTGATGACGACCTCTACCACAAGTGAAGCTATTTTGATCGTTGGCCGAGTGCGGGCTGAAAGCCCTCTTCGCCTTTGGGAGTGGCTCGGGCTACTGCGGGCGTGGGGACTATCCTGGGTGGATATGCCCATCCTTGGTCGGCCCACAGGCCCACGTCCGGCCTCGAGGCGCAGTTGCGTCTCGAAGCTGGCGATGGGTGGCAGCGCGCGCCAGTGACATCCTCTTCTTGGCCCGAGCGGCGCTTTCAGCTGGCGCGCGGAAGAATCACTCTGCTCGCTGGCGCACTCTTCGCCGAAAGGTTATTTGCATTGTCTGGTTGTTGAGACTGCAGGTTATGTGGGGCGGGAGAAGGGACTTTTGGGTTTCCCATTCTGGTCTCTGTAGCCGCTGAGGCTCGAGACCAGGGGTTGCGCCAGCGGGCTGTGTCCGGCCTGAACCGCGCCCGCGCTGGGGGGAGAGACCGCGCGGCGATGGGGCCCGGTGGGCTCGTGGCGCGCGCTGCGGCGATCCTCGCCGGCGGGACGCAGACGAGCTGGGCCAACGGATTGCGGCCGTTCGGCCGAGGGCTGAATGGCGTGGGGCCCGCGCCATCGGCGGCCGAGCCAGCGAGGCAGGCATCCGGGCCTCGACACCCCTCCCTGGCGCGGTTTCCAGCCCTAGGGCGAGGGGCGCCGGGGGCCTGGCGGGAAGCCGCCAGCCGTGTAGGCGAGCAATGGGCATGGAAAGGGGCGGTCGCCCCCCCCGCCGCCCGCCGCCGAAAAGGGCGTCACCCGGGTATCCCGACGGCGACTACGACCGCGACCTCGACTGCGGGGCGCGCCGTGGACGGGGAGGGGGGCTCCGCTGGAGCGAGCCCCGAGCCGACGGCATTGGAGGAGCAACTGGGCTCAGGCAGCGAGGGTTGGCGCGCCTGGTTGCCGACCGCGCCGACCTGGCTGTGCGCTGAGGAAATCGGGGCGCCAGCGCCCAGCGTGCCATCCCCCGCTGGGCCTGGTCCGCCTGGGTAAGCGGGCTGGGGATCTGGCCAAGCACGCCGGAGCGCGCGGGCGCGCTCCGGCAAAGTGGGGATGAATCGG